GATGTTCCCTCGCGAGCAAAACTTCGCTGACGGATTACTAGCTCAAGGACGGCCGAACTGCGAGTAAGGTATCTATCTATCGTTTCGTTACTCGTCATCGGGAGAGGGGCGAGGAACGTTCTAGTTTATGCTTCCGTGACACCGCATTTTCATTTCAAAGCAACTGTAATTTGCCAGACGAAAGACAGAGATCACTATAAGTCCGTGTATCTGCTTCGTGTGATATTTGGAAAGTCAATTACCGTCGCACGCGCGAAACTAATTCTACGTATTCCCGTTCCAGGAGAATTTCGAAATGTCAAAAGTGCGATGATTTGAAAAGAATTTCCCACGAGGCAACGTGCAAGCGTGTTTCAGAAAGACAGGTTGCTCGAATTTTTCTGACATCCAGCCGAAACCTAACCGACGAGTGAAACTACATAAATACTCGATTTTAAAAATTATGGACTGTAATGTTAACATTACCGCAGTGGCTGTTAGAGTAAAAATAATCTTTCTCGAGGAGTTCTCAATTCTATCAATAAATATCCAGTCGAAAATACGATCACCCGCCATTTTAATTCACGCTTCGTTTCCCGCTGTCGACGCGCGAGAGCCGAATAAAAATTGTGAAAAAAAAAAAGAATTAATACCCGTTTAATATCTCGGACTCTATCGGACAAACGTCCAAATAAATTAACGGAGAAAACCAGTTGTATCATTTTCAATCGCGTCACTCTTGTTGGGAGGCCTGTGCCGTTTCTGAGGTCACCAGCGGGTTTACATCCGGTCAAGGACGATAAGATTGATTTCACCAGTCTTTACGAACTCTCTGCGAGGCCTCTCGTCGAAGGAAACTAGTCTTGTTCGCAATTTACACGGCTTGTTAGCCGCGGCGTTAATGTTACGTGGCGTTCGAGACTCCCCCCCTCCCCCTCCCCCCTCCCCCCTCCCGTCTGGATGCATCTTTTTTTTTCCACGTGAAAATAACATCGAGGTAATACTCGTTAATATTTTATCGATGCACTCTCGAATCGACTCGGTGTATCATTCGGATATTTTCACGACGAAGATTTATCTACGACGCATAATAGTTCTGGCGATAGGCTGGCCGTAATTTAGAGTTCAGATGATTCAGGGAACGAAGAAACTCGGAGGTCGTGAATAATGTTGAAATTTGCATCCAACGACCAACGAACTTTAAATAGCTTGAGATGACGTGAGAGTGAAAAATTTCGAGGATTTTGACGGCGATATTTTTGATTAAATTTGAAGATGAGGATATAAAGGCTTTAAATTTCAAAATTGCAGTGTAGAATATGTTATAGAAATTTGATCGGAAACTAAACTTACGTCAAACTATTAACAATCTCAGGGCTAATACCTCCATTCTAATGACAAAGTTCGTTAGTCAGTTATCTTGAAGCGATGCACCGATCCGTTATCCTTTCAGCGAACTGGAATTAGAACTGTTCTCGGGCTGAGGACGATCTTTCTCTTCGTTAAAGCTGAATTTCATCGAATTTTACGACGTTCTCGACATTGGTTGATGGTAACGTTGAGTTTCCCTTGTATCTTATAGCGGAGGAAATTCAGCCGCGACAATTAGTTTCGATCGACATTGCTCTGTTCACAGTCGGTTGAACAGACAAGTGGAGCGAGATTACTAGCAGCACATCGTATCTATCGGAAAGAATATTTCGAGTAGCAGAGATTCAGTGTCAACTGTCCGCGAGATCCGTAAATATCGGACATTGAAAACGGCTTTTAACGAACAGCACTTATCTCAAAGAACAAATAAAATGCACTCCCTCGTATCACGGTTCGGTTGATCATCGAATCAGAGCATGCGATTATCGCATCAAGTGTACAAATAATAACGATAAGATCGTTTCATTTCGCTATCGATACGCCTGCTGTTACATTGACTCGCATTGTTTCTCCCGTTCTTCGACACAGTTAAACACAAGTTACACGAAAATTACATCAGACCTATAAATCAGATTTCCACGCAAATTCACATTTCCTCTGTGGAAAGAACTTTTCTGCTTTGCTCTCTGGAAAGAGATTTAATTTCACCCACTGAACGTCGAGTATTTTTTATACTTTCGCACACAGTAACAAATGCACAAGTTAAAAGAATCCACAGCTAAGCGGAGAGACAAGAAACGCTCGGTTCCAAGGAGCGAGCAGATTGATCTTGCCCCTCGAGTTTAAAACGAGAGGAATTCCTTCCTGGTGCTTTACGATCATCTCGTTGGCGAGTCGCGAGGATCGCTTGCCACCGGGGAAGGAGCATCATTCGATAAGCACCGCGATGAGCGTTATCGATAACAGTTATCTCTGGAACGAACGGCGTACCAACGTCGGGAGAGAAAGAGCGTTCTCTCTTTGGTTTCCGCCCTCGCTCAATTAGCCACGCGGTCCGCGCTGGCGGAACAAGCCAGTTGAAATTCGCCGCACTTGTTTACCCTCTTTTCGTAAATTGAATTTTCCCATTCATTAAACGTCCGTCTCGGGGAAAGGGAAACATCATCGCTTTCACTTTGTTCAACAGCCAGATTACACTCGCTGTTCTCCGCTTCGTCTGACAGAAGCGACGCGCCGAAAAAACGAACGAAAACCAGGCTACGAACTGGACGAGAAATGATCGGCTACTGGAAGCTCGTCCGAAGTTTCAGCTTCGACGCGAGCTCGCGTAATCGCGAACAAGAAATATTGATAGCGACGATAAATCTGCGGGCGTGGTAATTATCATTGGCCGTCTCTTGAAACGATGACTCTGCGGATGAAGACGCGACTACGGCCATCCCATTCAACGGGATTTCGCTTTCTTTTCTCCTTCGTATTTAATTAACGACTGACTCAACGGCTGGCGTGTCACGTGCAGAAGAAGAGAGAGAGAGAGAGAGAGAGAGAGAGAGAGAGAGAGGGAGAGGGAGGTGAAATAATGTAGCTTCTACTCAAGGATGATAAGATTGATTCACCTATCCCTTAAACCTCTTGTAAAACCATTGAAGGGCTTTAAGTAATCAATATCGCGCGAAAACGAGGGGTACACGAGGCGCAAGGGTGGGTGGGGGAGGTGGGGTGGGAGAGGGTGAATCTCATTACCCTCTGCAGCTAAGGCCATTGTGCAGCTGAACTTCATTATCCGGACTAATTATTTCAAAGTTAGTCGAACAGTTCGCCACAATGTAATGGCGAAGGAAACGGTCTTAGTGCCGGAGAGGTTTGCAGCTAGACCAAAAAGGAACAAGAAGGAGAAAGACCGACTACGCAAGAGAGAACATAATATCGCTTGGTATAAGGCTCCTGCCTTTGTTACCATTCATTAAGGTAATTACAGGAACCGATTTTCTTGCAAATGCCTCCGCGCAACCGGAGAATTGAATATCGGTGTGTGTGGAAGATCGCCACTGCTGGATATCGAACCGCGTGCACCTCGAAAACGTTTACATACCCTGCTAAAGGCGCTCCGGTGCCATTCCCTGTGGCAACCTTGGCTGAGCACACTACGTGTGCCAATTAGACTCTCTATTTACGGATTAATTCGATTAGTTGCAGCGTTCGTCAAAGATCGTCCGTCAAAGTGACGCTGAAAGATCCGTTGCGTATATTTTGCGTCGACTCGTTTAAAAAATTATATTTTAGCGATCGTCTGAACGAAAGAAATAGAGTAGCGAAAGATCATCCGTCAAACTCGTATATCTATAGGTGTGTGCCAGAAAAACAAGCGAGCAGGCGTCCTTTAAAGATTCGAAACGAATCGCCAGCACCTTCCGACAAACTGTTGCAAAAATCCTTCTTGGTCGCCGGGTTCGCTACGCGAGTGCAGTCGGACAAATCGACCGATTCGATTGCCTGGTCGGCTGCAGCATTTTCTCTCGCAGCACGAGATGTCGTAACGAGCTAATAAGCTCGTTTGATGGAAAGTACAAGGGAAAAGAGCTGTCCGCGCGATGACGAGGATAACGTGATCTTGCACGTCGTGCACACGGCGTCGTGCACACGCGTTGCTGTTGCTCGCAGCGATCAATTATTCCATCGCGTCCGGCGTACCGGAGACGCGGCCGCGAGGGAAGAACCGAAAATTCTCTCCGAGTGGGCGAAATCATCCAGGTGGAAAATTGTTTTGCCGCCATTCACGATACCGTAGAGTGGATAGGTATAACCGTCGCGGATGGGACTTATCGATTTTATTGAGAATACAGCCGCGGTTCGTCGGGAATACGATCCGTGAGAGCGGCATGGGCGGGATAGATACCTCGTCCAGCAGTCGACCAGACGTGAAAAACGCGAAATGGAAAAATTTGAAGCGGGGCGAGACCAGGTTGACCCGTGGATCTCCAGTACCGACCCGGCGCGCACACCAGTAGTAGTAGAGTTTTTTGCGTTTAATTGAAAAAAAGAGGGCACAAACGGAGGCCAAGCCTCCTCTTGAAAGGATCCGATTTAGAATTTCTGCCCGGTGCTTCCCTCCGATACCCCAACATACCCTCCAATTGACAGGAATCGCTTGCATTTCGGTAGCCAAGCGATCTCGCCAGCGATCGCGACAGGGCGATTTATGAGGAGGTCCTCAACGTACGACAAACCGTCACGACAAACTCTCATGTGAATTTTCAATCCACGCTTCTTTGAACGTCGTGTGCGAGATAAATCTTTCCTCTTCTCTCTCTCTCTCTCTCTCTCTCTCTCTCTCTCTCTCTCTCTCTCTGTCTCTGTCTCTGTCTCTCTCTTTTCTTTTTTATTCACACTGCACCGAAGGAGATTCGATTCAGGATCTCCCTTTCCGCTCGAACGAAATTAAAAGGACATCGCCTATCCGTCTCGTCTGATTCTCGTCGAAAATCGGCGTGTGTGTGTCTTCGTCAATTCGCGCGCGATTGACTCCATCAATATCGCGATTCCACTCTAGATCGCGGCGGATAATGTTAACGCGAGCACGCGCGGTTAAAAGCAGAGTGAGCGGCGAATTTAAACGGCGAGAGTACTGTCATTCGTGAGAAATTACGTACCTTGGTCGAGTGTCGTTGACTGGGACGGTTGGCTGATGGAACCAGGGTAGATCGACGACAAGACGTGGCGGATCTCTCACGCAAGATAGACTGTCGTAGCACTCGATGGCTTTCTCTCTTTTACTCTTTCCTTATCTGTCTCCCTCTTCTTGCCACCTATGTCTCTCTATCTCTGTCTCTCTCTCTCTCTATCTATCTATCTCTCTCCCTCTCTTTCTCTCTCTCTCTCTCTCTCTCCCTCGCGTGCCCTTGGACTTGAGCCCCGTTCACGGCCACAACCAACACAGAAATGCTGGGATTGCAAGGCGTGCGGCCACTTTTCCTGCCGGTACCACCAGGTGGGGGGATGTGCCCGGTTGCTGTTGGCAGGTGGAATGCTCAACATCACCGCAACGTACTCACGAATTATTAGTGCGACGGGACGTTCTGCAAAGGGAGAAGGAGAAGAGGAGATGGTGGTGTGTTTGCCTGGACGGTTGGAGGGGGCCCGAAGGAACGGTGCCATGGAGGGGGATATGCGGAAAGGGAGGAAGGCCCCCGCGATTCGGACGAGTCCGACGTGTGATTTTCGAGTACGTTCACCGGTACTGCGCTTCCGCGGTTTCGCGGAACGAGCCTTTTGGCTTTGCCCCCTGGCCTTGCCCCCCTCCCCCTTCGCTTTTGAGGTCTTTGGACGCTAAATGTTCGTGGTTCCGCGCACGCCACGCTCGTGCCAGTCCTTCTTCCGTCTGGCCACCTTGGCGTTCGCAAATAATGAACGCTAATCATTCCTTCAATTATGTCCCTCGGCCGGTCGGCAGCCGAACTTCATCCCGTGGTTTTCCGCGGGCAAAAGGATAAAAGTCGTTTGACTGACTGGCTCGTCCGTCTTCAGACGTTGATGATCGTTCTGTACGATTCAATTTCCAGGGTGTAATTGTCAGTTAACATACTCGGTGGACAACATCTGGCGTAATGAGAATTAAGTTCCCTTCGTTCCGATTCAGCCTCGTGCTCGAGCGTTCGAAGAAATCACTGGCAATAATGTGAAAAGGAATTGTAACCTTAACGTGCAAGTATCAAGAAAATGTTTAAACAGTAGAGATACGAATAACGATATCTTGCTTGTTGAACATCAATTTGTCTTTCCTTTCTTATTTCTGTACACACCTGTTTCTCTGTCCTCTGTTATACGTTCTCGCCAAACAACGTTCCACGTTTCTTGCCGCTCGGTGTTGCACTTGAATTTAAAATTTACTTTCAACGCGTTTTCGTTGCCCGTTAGCTTCTCCAACGCTTTACGTAAATGGTTCGGTAGACTTTGGCATAAGTAATAGCGCGATAATACGGTACTCAAAGAGTATGACGAACGGTGCTCGTTATTCCTTTAATTACAGTTAACGCAGTGTACAGTTTTAGTATCCAACGTCACTGTTCTTTCCAAGAAAATTATATTTTTCACTGTGACTTTCGTTTTTTCTTTTTTTTTTCTTTCTTCTTTGCGCGTACGCTCGACAAACTCGAGCAGAGTTTGTGTTTCATTCATTAAAAGGTTCCATCAAATTTTACATTGTGAAACGTGTCATAAAATTATAATTCTACATTTTTACAATAGTTTGCGGATACTGAAATTTACATGCGCAGTTGTTACATCATACTTCCTTGTGTCTTGTAACATTCTCCTTCCCCCCCTCCCTCGTTTAACGTATTTTTCATTGCATTAGCTAAAATAGCAATTCATGGAGAGGATGTTCAGCGGATATGGCGAATATGGTCAAACCGACCATTCAATTGCCGTGTGAGTTTTGCTACGTGCGGTCGTGCAGTTATTATGCAATGGAACCACATCCTTGCAATTGATATGCAGCGCAACGTCTTTCTTTAAGTTTTTGCCGCGCTCATTCCAATTTCTGGATGCAACTGCTACGTGCGATGATCTCGGCTTTATTTCTCAATGAGTTTCACGAATCGCAAGAAAACATCTGACGTTTTTCTAGCTACTGCGACTTACATTTCATTAGCAAAAACGAGATATTGACGTTTGGATAGCGAAGGGTAATTCTATTGCCAACGTCTTTTTTTTTTATAAATTTCATCGATTACACCCGCAGGATCTTACACTGAAATGATCAACGTCTTGTTTTCATCATTGAAGATCGCAGAAAAATTCATTTTCATCATCCATCCCGTTATTATGTCGTATGTAATCGCACTCGTTCGAGTATTTTACCAAATCGTCATTATTTTCTTATTCGAGTTTCCACGTTTCCTGCTGTCCTCAGCTCGAGAGTAACACTATTTAACCGCGGACCATTGACCAGAAAATAACGAGGTGCATGCTTGTTACTGGAGTACAAAAAAAATTATATACTGCCTGTCAGCAGCGCGAGCCACCCTGAATTATTCCAAGAACGCGAAATTCCTTTAACCGCGGCGCAAGTTTATTTATAGCTGAAACTTATATATAGCTGAGTAGTTCGATCATTTACAATTAGTCGCACTAAAGTTTAATCGACGTGCCTCGACGGTTTATCGTTGTTTCACGGTGTGCTTTGTAGAACTAGCGGAGGCACACAGAGGCTGCCGATGATCTCTGATGATTGATTTGTTACAACGTAATACCTAATACGCTCTCGTGTAATCGTTCCAGTTTTCCCTGTCCTGTTGGACGAGCCGGGAAGTTGATCGTAACGAGCTTACAACTCCTTCGACATTGACTTCGTGTCTAGAATTACAGTATTTGCATTGATTCCCGATCGGCGACCTGTAAGACGTTGCTTGGAATGTCACGTATCGCGTTCGAACGAGGATCCCGGATAGAAAATTACGCGTTAAAAATCGTCGGACTTGGAAAACTGTGGTTGGGAACGCTTTAATGGATAGATTTGTATGCCGCTAAATACCAATGGCACGTTTTCTGTATACGCTGTATACGTGGCCATAAGGAGGTGGAAATTCATAAAATCCCGCTGAATACCATAAATATGTACGTATCACGCGTATCGTATTTCCGTAATTATCCTGTCTTCGTAAAAAAGATCCTAGCCACGCTCGCTTCCTCGTCCAGCTGTTCATTTTAATTTCGTTTTTCTGTATGTCGGTAATTGTTATAGTCCATCGGGTTGTTTGCAGGCTCGAACCCGAAAGGATGCGACAAGCATCGGGAGCGTGTGAATGTGCAAATGAACATGCTCTAAACGCTCTAAACGATCACCGAGACCTGGTCATTTTTCAATTTGTCACCGCGTCGAATTCGTGGCAATGAACAATCAATTGTTAATCGTTTGTTATGGTCATCGTCGTTTCAAACATATCATGATCTGTCTCAATCTGTTTCGCGAGGAAATTACGATGCAAAGGTAATCTTCAAATTATATTATTCTGGGCTACTTGATTTCATTTCATACTTGATAAATTCCATACGACTTGATTAAAAATTCAACCCAGAATCGTTATGCTCTGCAATAGTTTATACGTTAATATATTATATCACTAGAATTACCGGCACTGGATGTACAAAAAAATGTGCTCCGTAAGCGGATTGTACAAAAAAATTGTTTCAACGTAAAATGCCTTAATTAAAAAATCTGTTTTTACATATTTTATAATTGAAAATAAATAATTTCGTACGTTAAATGCTACTCTTTTTCCATTTATAACTTTTTTTTTTATGAAAGCGCGTTTTTCAAATGCTCGTTAAATAATAGCGTTAAATAGGAGCGGTAGTTCCAGCGATGTTCAACAAAGACAGAAAAATTATCTAATCTAAACTGTGCAAAGTCAACTGAAAATTCTCATCCAGAAATTTCTCAAGCAAAAACGAAACGAATCGTCTGTCAACGATTCCATCGCAATCAAACATTCTACAACGGCTTGCGACCATTTTTCACGCGCGAATTTCCTAAACGCTCAAGAGAGAAAGAGGAAAAGCTTCTAGCCATAAACACGCTGATGTACGACTCGGCTTTCTCGCTCCAATTCTATAATTATACGTCCCGATGCGATCTGGATGAGTCGTGGATGGTGTAACATACGCGGAATACGCCGGAATGAATCGCCGGTTGCTGGTAGCAGCAGCAGCAGCAGCAGCAGCAGCGGCGGCGGCGTCGCGTCCCGATATTATCGTCGGGTGAAATAATATCGTAAATGATTGCCGGCGTACGTGATCCCGTTCTTTAAGCCCCGGCGACTCTGCAGTAATAGTCGCGCCGCATTAGAATGTAGCAAAACGGATGTCGTAAATCTTGCGCGGCTACCACTCGCGGCCGCGCGCGCGTTTCAAGCGTTCAGGAAAACGTGAAGTGAACCTTGTCCGAGCAACATTTTCCGAAGCTTTTCGTCCGCTCGCTACCCGACATCGAAAAATTGTCATCGGTGCTCTCTTGGTCGTTTGCAAATTACGCTGGCTGCTGCTGTTATCAAAAGAGTTGATAATCTGGGAACTATCATCGACAGACGAGTGGAGCAACGAGATCGCGCGTCGAGACCATGTATAATACAGCGCGATAGTTTAGAAATTGTAGCGAACCGCGCGCGAGTTTAGTTCCGTTCGGTGGCTGGTTACGCATCGCGTCGTGGCCAACATTCTAACGGGCCTATTTCTATTGGTAGCTGGCCGCTTCTGGGCATCCGCGATTAATTTTATGGAGACTGACGTTGGCCGAATGCTTGGCGCGTGGGGTGAATTTGTTCTGCCGGACTTGTGAAGATCCTTGCAGCGTAACAAATTGTTAGAAACATTGTGTCTGTTTGGCAGATTTATTTGGAGAAGGGTGTTGCCACAAGTTGATACGATTTGACTGTTTTGATCATCATGGTTGAGTCTCAAGGGTCAAGGGAATTTAAGAACAATTTATTTTGGATTATTAGTGGTGCGTGTTGTTTATCGAAATAGAGAAAAATATGTTGGTTTAGTTGATTTAATCTCTATGGATTTGTATGACGTATAAGATTGAAAACAAAATAAAAGTTACAGTTTGTTTAAAATCCAAGAGATGTGTGTAGCATCTAATATCAGAATTATTTTATCAGTTTAAAAATTTTTAGGGTAATTCAAGTCATGAAGTGACGCGTCACAAATACGAATCTCTGTTCTGAAATGTAATTTTTCATTTAAGTTTAGGTTAGAAGAATTGAAGATGATCCTCGTATCTCGATAGACAAATAAATTCTAACGTACGCTCTCTCTGTTCGAAACGCGTGTGTCTTCACACACCCGCAATTAGAAATTTTTCACTATTCTCCGGGGAAAATCAACGACACAAAGAGATCCGTAATTTTATTAACGACGAAGGGAAAAAGTTGCGAGATTGATCGCAATAAATCAGAACGCGTTTAAACGTCGGTAAATTAAGACGACGGTGGTTAATATGCTAATTTTATTCAGGCTAGAGTAGACAGGTATTGGAAATTGTGTTAAACGGCTGATACTTCTATTAAAATTTCTTTTTCTTTCTCTCTCTCTCTCTC